TGATTTGGCCTGCAGAACGCCTATTACCAGAGGTGGTGTACAAGAGAGGAAGCATCCATTCCGAGTCTTGAAAACCAACCTGAGATGATAGGATGGGTCATTAGTAAGGTTGTCTTATTTGTAAACGGACATTAAACATGGAGCCCTATGACGTGATTTTTTTTTCCCCCTCCAAGCAGGCACTTTTCCAAAAAGAATTGCAAAAAATAGGCAGTTCACAAAAGACCAAGTTATAACCTAGGATTTTTCAAAACAGTAGCTTAGACACAGGTGTGTGAAAACATGCATAGGCACCTAACCAAGTGGTCTGGCAGTGTAGCCATGTGTGGGAGTTAAAGCTTCTTGGTGAGCTACTGCTAAAGTGAGTTGTCAGCTTCATATTCTCTTCTCCTCAACAGCAAAGTTAAGCTAGCAGGGTATGTATTTTATCTTGCCACTGGAGTAGGATAAGGACATGTAAGTGGCCAGTTACGATGACTCAACTGACAAGAATTAGCTACTACATTAGCCTTTTATATCTTGCCCTGCCTCTTATTTTCAGAGGATTGATAACCTGGTCACCCCTAGTCAGGCTAATTGTGTGTGAATCTTAAGACCCTTATTTTAGGTACTCATAAAATAGAAAGATGACTTGCTAATGGGACTTTATGCACATTTGATAATGTACTATTTTATCATTGCTACCTTGTCAGCACAAACAGCAGGAGCTTTTGCAAATCCCCTCAGCAGCATGCCTCTTTTTGCCACTAGTCCTAGAAGTTTTGGAGGGGTATGTGTTCACCCTATGTCACCGCATATTGTTATATCTCCGTTGCAGCAACCAAGATATATTTGTGCTCATTGCAAGTACTTACAAAGTAGCATGGCATAATTGTCCCTCTGCAAGCATCTCTCTTTAAACTATTGTTTAAAACTGCCAGACGCATCTTTGTTCTTTATTAAGAGTAAGGCAACAACACAGAGTCTGTAGTTATCGGGAGATAATCATTCCCCAAGGGTATTTGAAGCACTTCACAACCAAAAGGTTGTGATTACTCCACGATTGCTATACTGCTTATTATTCCTTATTGCTTAATTTTGGAACCGAGTGTGTTTCCTTGATGCTGTCATCTAAATAAGATTCTCCGGTTCTCATGCTCTGCTTCAACGTTACGTGGACTGGGAAGCTTTGTAGCATTTTGAGATGATGTAGGGGATAGCAGTAGGGCAGGCCAGTTATGGCAGATTTTCTGGCCTTCGGGAGACCAGGGCATTCAATCCCTGCCCTGCCAGATGCTTGCCGAGAGGCCTTAGGCAAGTTACTCAGCTTCTGTATACCTCAGCTCTACAACTCTGCTCAGGTGCTACCATAAATAAGGCTGTGTGAGCATCTAGAGTAGAAGTAATATAATGGACTTCATCTTGACCTCTAGGTATGGACTCAGGCAACATGCTATGAAGACACTGTTTTTCTTTTTAGTGTGTGCACATTCAGCTGGCTTATTTTGAGTGGTCTTTGGTGGAGTGCAGTGGCCGAGAGCTGCGTGTGTATGGAGGGTGAGAGAGCAAGGGAAGAGGGGATTTAATATCTTAAAATACTCTACCTGATTTCACAAGACGTGTGACTGCAGCCCAAGTGGTCTAGTGCCCAACGGCTCTGAGAGCCCGGTTGCTCTCGAACGACGAGAGCCTCTCAAACAGAGGCTGCGGCACTGTTCACATTTCTTAAGGTTTATTCAGATTTCCATCTCTGGTTAAAGTTTGTGCTTGCCAGGCTGTTGTGCTGTAATGTGTCGCACGCAGGTGGGTTACTAGGTCGGCAGCACGCCCACCTGAAACAGGCGTGTAATGCTGCTGCGTTTCAAAAGGGCTTTGATGTCTCCACTCTCTGCTGATTCAGTGAGTCTTTGGTGACTCGCTGCCTTGTGCCGTTGTGGTTACACATTGGAAAAGAGTAGAACGTGTGGCCTTTTCCAGGCTCACCGGGCCTAGAAATCTACCCTGAAGAACTCATTTTTTTTAAGTCTTTGATTTAATGTTTCATTGAATCATGTAACCTACTCGAAGGAAGGGGAAAGCCATCCAGCATGTATTTTAACATTAGCTTTGATTTTTGGAGTGTATGCATTCATAGGAAGATGAGAAGATGGGTGATAAAACTCAGTTTCTAAATCGTCACCTAAATTTCCAGATGAAACTCCTGGTGAATGTCATTCCTTAGACTTGGTTTTGAAAACTTGAATAAGAAGGAGACTTGGTGAAACTCCCTTATGATTACGCTTTGGCTTGGTTTTGAAAACTTGAATAAGAAGGAGACTTGGTGAAACTCCCTTATGATTACGAGGTTGGCGTAAAGTCTACTTAATGAGGTGCTTTTTACAGCAGTGGCTGACTTTTAAATCCCCCTTTTCATTCCTGAAATCTCAATGTTAACAGCACCTTCCATTGTGGCGCTCTGCTAGCGTGCATCTTCTGTCTTCTGCAAGAGGCTGCATGCAACCCTGCTAGCAAGCTCTTGTGTCGTAAATAGAATTTGTTCAGGAAATAAAAATGTGTTGTTTTCATTGTTAGAGGATGCTACTAAATTGGCTGTATGTTTGTCTAATAATCACATCTAAAGCTGATTATTCTGGTAATAGCCTTAAGATATTATTTAAAAATAAATATATAAATGCACTACTTTTGTACTAATACTAGTTTTTAATCTCTTCTTGTTTCTATGAAGTCGGAATGAGATTTTCAAAATTGAATAATAATTTGATCCGTTAATCTTTTGAAGCTACTAATTTTATTTTCCCCTCTGCAGTCTCTGAGGCTCACAAATGAATAGAGCTTCATTACTGGAGTCTGCATTTAATAACCATTATCCATTATCTTGTAATTAAGACTCCCTGTAACGAATCATGAGGACAATGCAAAAATACATAGTACATTTCTTTAATGAACTGGAAAATGTTCATCTTGTTCTATTTAGTAATGAGTTGCTGAATAGTCGTTAAATCCACTGGAGAATAGAACTAGATGGATTTTGAAGACTATCTTGAGTTTGTGGTTAATCTATTAGAATTAAAATTTCATCTTCTATTTTTATCAACAGCTGATTAGAAGTCATTCTGTTTGACCAAATTGATTAGAAGACCATATACAAGGGCAGCTGTTGTTTAATGAAAGTTTTTAATGAAACTGTACCATAGAGACTTGTAATTATAAGACTTATAAAAGCTTTGACTTACCTTATACTAGAAAAAATGAAAAGTATTGCACTGAAGGACTTTAAGTGCTACCTTTCGAAAGGGAAATTAAAAATACAATTTGGCAATGTTGAAGTTTCACTTCCACTGTTACTTGTTTTAATGTGACTATCAGATGTCCACAGTGTCTCTCTGGAAGGGAGTAGCTCTGAAATATGTAACTCAGTTGTCTCTCCTGTGTGCTCCGTTCTTCGCAAAGCTCAATCAACTATTAATTGCCTCTTTTGCACATTGCACTTTTTCTGGAGTTAGAACTTTTTTTGCAAATAACTGTTTCTCTTTAGAATGGGAATTGTCATAGGAGGGTGCAATTTAATCACCAATGGGCTGAGTTAGTGCCTAGACAGGAAGCCTACAGAGAAAACCGTGGTCTTACAAGACACGATGTTAGTGATACCGTTCGATTGTGTTTAAATCACAGGATGCAGAAACATGCCTGGCTTTGTCTTAACTTCCCATCAGGCTGAGACCTAGCTGCGTGCCAATCAGCTGTGTCATCAGGAAGACGGGTCTCTGGAGTGTGCCGCAGCACACAGTCAAAATGCAGTCAAGGCAGCCCTTTAGTTTGAGCCAGTAGTGAAACTTTCCTTGCTTACTCTAGGGGATGTTGTAGAGGCATCATCATTCAAATAAAAGACAAAATGGACCCTAAGCCAAATTTGAAGTGGAAGCAGATGCAGTTCCAATTGATTTAAGTGGATGATGCACTACTACGCGATGTTTGAATTATCCCTCTTCTTCTCCCGATTACTTTCGATAATTAATGATCCCACAGTACACCTTTTCTGAGAAGTAGGTTCCCAGGGATGAAGTGCGCCCTAATGCAATTAAAGAAGTTTTGTCATTGTATTGTGTCAATGCAGGATCATACACTGCAAGGCTAATTTTTTGGTTAGTGTCTTAGCTTTTTGTTATATCGTGCTGCAGGATTCGTTTTAAGCCAACCCAGAACGTCAAGAATACACACGAACACTACACAAGTATTCAGGACAGGCAGTGGAGAATATTGTTCACAAGTGAGAAACCAGAAAAAAAGAAGCCAAGGCTAACTCTCCTTTCTTAAACAACAGAGATGTTTTGACCTTGTTACTGCATTATATCAGACCATGGCTTTAAGTGTAGTAATTTGCAATGTTACAATTGCAAAATGCATAAGAAGGGAGTTTTTTCCCCTGTTTACAGTATTACACAGCTGGTTTCGTAAATACATGTGGGATTTCTTTCCTTTCACTTCAAACAGCTGCGGGAGATACAATACTAGACTGTGAAATGTGAGACTAAATAGATGCAAAGTTAAAGTAAAAAAACTGATGAAAATTGTTTCTATTCAGAAAGATCCTTGTGGAAATAATAAATGTTGATTTATATGCAAAATTTGTTCGGAGGAAATAATTTCCATTGTTGCGGTTAGTCAGACACATTCCTATTAATGTATGTATACACATATATTGAGTGTCCGTCCAGGAACATATATTATATTGGACTGCCCTGAAGAGATTGTTGATCTGATAGCTAGAGCAAAGAATTAAGAGCTGGGATGTTCATTTAGCCGCTAGGATGTCTGATTTGCTCTGAAACCCGGATGGGTATCATCCTCTTGCTCTAGCCTCGACCAGAGCAAGGTCAGCACCGACACCACGGGGATGTACATGTAGAGAAATGCTTCATAATTGCTGTGAAGCATGAGGACATCTTTGGAGGGTGTGAACTATGTATGTGCAGAGTGGCTCTTGTTCTAAAACTACCATAAAGCTTTTTACTTCCTTCCAGGTTCTGATTTTATAAAGACGTCTACAGGAAAGGAGGTGGAAAATGCGACCTTTCCAGTCGGAGTAGTCATGATGCGAGCCATTAGAGAATTCTACTGGCAAACTGGCAACAAGGTAATTCTTGCTACCTTTATAAAAATTAAGCAAACAGGCTCACTCAGAAGGAAATAAGACTGTAATAGTTTCAAAATGTTGAACATATAAATGCACATACATTAGCTTCCATGGCTATATGAGCAATAGGTAAAGGGACTTCTCTCTTTATTCCTCATTTGATTTGCTAGTATTTGTATACTTAAAAAAAAAAAAAAAGCGGCACTTTTGGCTTTCCTCCCTTGAATAACTGTCACTTCATTCCCTGAAAGCTCATGCAGTCTTGATGCATCCCCTGCTTCATTTGCATTTGAGTTTTGTTTCACCATTTAAGGTATTTAAATGGTTATCTCCATTAATAACAGGGCAAATCCCAAACTGACAGTGATTGGCAAACTCCCATAAACCTCAGTGGAGCTATACAAATTTATAGCCATTGAGAGTCTGTCCAGTGTACACAACTGTATTTTCTGACTTTGTTCTGGCAACCCAAGAGATAAATTCTGCTCTTTCCTCCCTTGCCAGAGGGGCTTTCCAAGGGGACAAGAAGGCAGATCCAGTTGGATCCTGTTGTCTGGGATGGAGGGAGGGAGGGACAGGGGCCGGAAGAACATTATGTCCCGGTACACAACATTTGTCCGTCAGGTCACTGTCAAGTGAGGTCAGTGGAGGCAAGGAGCAGGGGGGAGCATACGGCAGAGCCAGCGATGGACTATCTGTGCATCCATCCTTGCGCTGAAGCAGTGAGAAAGGAGGAGGTTATCCAGGAAGGTTTAAGTCACCTCTCACCTCCTTTATCCACAGGCAAGTGGGGACTGCCGGTTAGATCTGGTGCTGGTGTTCAGCAGTGGGCTTTGTCCTCACCTGCAGCCTCAGGGAAGGAAATCATATCTCTAGCTAAGACCCTCTACCCATTTCTGGGTCACTTCTCCACCTCACCCTTCTGTCCCTTCTGCAGGTGGCCTTTCAAGGTATGATGTTAGGATGTGGGATGAACAGTGGGATAGGGGCAGAGATGGCTTCAGGGGCTGTTGGAGCTTGAGGAGCACGTGACAGCAGGTTAGACGTGTGTCCATCTGCTCTCTGTAGTCTAGATGAGGCCAGCATGGATCCCTGGGCTGTCCTCACTCCTCCCTTCCCAGCCTGCATCTCTCTCTGCCACACAACAACTCGAGCAGCTCCGATAGTCTTGCTTCTGCAGCAGCATCGTCACTGCTGCCAACCTGAGGCAGATCCCTGGGGCCGGGTGACTCACCTCGGCACCGGTGCTGCTGACACGAGCTGTGTGCCAGAGGTTGGGCTCTGCTGCATTAACACAGCTTTGTACCTATAATTGGATATAAGTATTGAATTAACTTTTTGCTTTAAAAGGATGCATTCATGGCATGAAATGTGTTGTTGAGTGCTTATGTCTGTGTGCATGTGTGTCAGTGAATTAGATGTAAACTGACTTTATGTGCTTTTATTAACTGAAGACAATATTATCAATGACGAGATTTCTAAATGGTTTCTTTAACAAACTAATTTTGCTGCTGTAGGGATGCTTTCTAGCAAGGCGTTGGCTGGGAAAAACAGGTTAATACAGAAATTAAACTTCGAGGAAAGGAACAAGTTGCAGAGTAACATTTATTGAATGATAAGCTGTGGTGGTGATATGAAAAGTGTGCAATATAATAGGAAATAATCTTTTCCTGTCATTACTGAAGGACATACATAAATTGGTTTTTCTGTTGGGAAAACCCCCAACCCAGAAAAACTTATTACTTTTAATAATATAAGGTGAAGAGAAAATTCTTGAGGAGATGAACTTATTAAGCAAAATAATGAAATGCTGTGAAACAGCAGGAAAGTGGTAGCTGGACTTTGTACCACTCTTGAATTAAATTCCAACCCCCCTTCCTTTTTGCTTTTTTATGGCAGTCAGATGTGCTGTTTGGAAAGCTGGTAAACGGAGGAGTGGACAGGCTTGTCTTTGTCAGCTTTTTTGCAAAGGAAAGTGCTTCCAGAATTTGCTCAAAAGGGAAGGAATTCTGCATGGTGTTTTTAATTCTCTTCTTAACTCTATTTTACTTGTTTTTGCCACAGATTATCTCAAAGAGCTGTAATATTTCTAGGAAGAAATCTAAATTTGAATTTCATTAGAATTTCTCTTCCTGAGGGAAAACACATTCCCACTATTTTACTTTATTGTCTAGAAGATGCTTTTCCAGTTGCTGTGGTTTAAATTCCACAATTTAAATTTTGGAAATCTAGTATTAACAGATGTATGTGTACACTCATCCATCCATCCATATCCATCCATCCATCCATCCATCCACAAAAACACAGTCTTCATGTTTTGGATTTATCAAGCTTTTCCTGTTATTGTTCTTCATAATCTTATTGGAAATATGCTGTTATCACGATGCTTCAGTGTGAGAGAAGGATTTATTCTGTGTTTGTTTGTCCTGAAATCACTATTAAAAAAACTACAAAACACATTTAAAAACAGATACTTTTTGATTCTACTATTATATCCATAAGGTACAAAGAAATCCTCAAGGCAGTGAGGTTTCAGGAAAGTATATACTGAAATCAGAACGATAATTCTTGCAGGAGGTGGCTGACGGGAAGGAGTACCCAAGGTAAAGGTTTATGGCAGAAGGAAATGTAGAAAGAGTCACTGTGTGCTACTGTACAGATTGTTCAGATTTTTTTTTTTTTTTGGATGCAGGAACACTTCTTCCTAATTCTCCTTGTTTTTCAAGAGTTTAGTAAGCTGCTGCAGGCCAACATTTTGGCTAATGCAGGTGACAAAATTTTTGACGAGGGATTTGATAGCTGTCTGTCACAAGCTCTGTCTCAGAATAAGATGCATTTAAATGGCACGTAACCAAAAGACTGGTATTAGGGGTGCATGCCAAGTCACCTCAGTGCTGGCTCTGCACAGCGGGTTGGTCATGGGATTGAAGACATGCTTTACCTCAAGATAGGATTTTCTTGGCGTGTGTGCCTCTACATACATGGCAGTTCACCTGACCAAATATGACATGTATCTCACATCAAGTGACTGAAAGTATATCCAGCATGTGTTGGGAGAGAAGTTTTGCAGTTCCTGTGAAGCACAAAACTTTCAATTTTTGGTAGAGACAGCCCTAATTTAATTCCCATTTGGAAAATTTTAGTGAAAATTAAACCTCTGATATGTTTGAATGTACAGCCCAATCATGTATAACAGTGGTGCACAGGCTTTTTATAAAGTACAACCATCTCTCACTGCTCTCCACATGAGTCAGCTGCCTCACGTGCTTTATTTCAGCTTCTTTAGTATTATGTTATTGCATGTATATTTGTGGTTATATATTTGGAATTAGACTGTGACATGGGCAGTAGGTGATATGCAGATATCCCAGGTCCTGCCTAAATCCCGTGGCTTAGTATGTGCTATGGGCAAAGCACTCCCATTAGACCTCAAACCCAGCTCCTGAGGAAGTGCACTGAAGTCAAAAGTATTACTCCCTCAGCTGGTGTCCCTCAGGATGAAAATGTTATCTTTTGCAGTGATGGCTGAGGCTTGATAGCTGTCAGCGCTAGTCCAGAGCTTATACTGTTTGCAGTCAGATACTTACCGAGTTGTTACATACACCACAGGCACTTTGAGGCTGCAGGTGTACAAATGCTGATTGCTCTTCTGGCGTTGCTGATGAATGAAAATGCGTATTGCACTTCTTTCTTCTATCTAAAGGTTGGATTTAAACCTGCTGGGGGCATTCGGACGGCAAAAGAAGCTATTACTTGGCTTATGCTGGTGAAGGAGGAACTGGGAGTGGAATGGCTAACACCAGAGCTCTTTCGCCTGGGTGCCAGTAGTTTGCTGGAAGACATTGAGAAACAGGTTAGTTGTTAACTGTTTTCAGCTTGGTGGAGAGAAAAAGTAATCTTTCTAAATGTGCTGGCTTACTGTTTTTGCAGAATGTGCTTTCTGGTGCTGTTTAAAAGAAAATAGAACATACATCTAATTCATTATTAACGACAGGTTCACTTCCAGCCCAGTATTTCTTTAAATTTGGCCTGTCATTACAGACATCTGGGACTCTGATATTCCAGCAGCTGGCAATTGCCTGGGCCAGGTTTGCAGTGCAGTGAGCAAAGAGGCTCAGTTTGTACACATACAGTCTCTTTTGCAAATGCAGGGTAGTGTGCTCCCCTGCACTCCTAGCTGTTGCCAGTTCAGCTGACCCTCAAAATATCTCACGGACCCTTTGTGTCACTGTGCCGCAACTGTTCACAATATATTTCCATGCTGTGGAGAAAGTCACGTCTCATCCTACATATGGTACTGCTGATAGAGAAATTTTTCCATATTGATTATCTCCTGGAGAAGAAAAGCAATTGCCTCCTACAAAACCTCATTTTTCTAATTGCTTTTATTTTTGTGCAGGCTGGCCACTGTGTTTTCTGGCAGACAAATACTGTATGAGGTGCAGTGGCAATGTGTAGTTCCTGGTGGGAAGAAAGGTTCTGACCTATCTACCCACGACCTACCTCACAGGCGCAGGGGATCAACCCCGAAGGATACAGCATAGTTGAGAACAGTGTAGTGTCATAGGAACTACTAAACCATTAGGGTTTCTGAACTTCACTTCCATGTTCGTTAAACCCAGGAGATGAGGTGATATTAGCTTTAACCGAGAAAAAAGTTTGAAAGTCCTTGTGCTGTTGCTGCTGGTGGGAGAACATGAGATGCAGGGGATTTGGGGGAGGAAAAAAGCATCAGTCTGTTCCCTTTCCCCACCTTTCCTAGCAACTGAAATACTGACATGTCTTAAGAAATACAAAACAGCTGAGAGGTGTCAGGTGAATATTCATGACTGTTGAAAACCCCTGGCTCACTCCTGCAATGAGAATAATATTGGCTTGCTTCATTGCAAGACTGCCTCTGCCTCACTCTTGACCTAAAATCATGTCCCTGGTTATGACAAAGCAGCATGAGCTTTCTTGTTGGACTGCCATCACTGCTGAGTCTTGCAACACAGCTAGTGATTGTGTCACACGATTTGTTCTGATTTCTTAAGGGTAGCATCCTTTTATCTGCCAGGGATTGCACAAATGCCCCAGTCATGACCAAAGCTCTGCTATGCTGTGCCATGTAAAAAAAAGTAAGATAAAATGTCCCAATCTTTATATTCAATAAAACAAACACATATTTAAAATAAACAAACAAACATAGAAAATGAGGAGAACACTCCCCAACCCCCAAGACAGTACAGTTAAAAGAATAGTTTGAAATAAGCCATATAAAAGCATAAGCAATTTTGGATACTTTGAATATCACAAAATAATTTTGAAATAGTCAGAATTGGATTACAGTGAGAGTAAAGCATTGTTTTCTACCTGTCTCTTTTTGAAAGCTTAGTTAAAAGCAACAAGTCTTTGCTTTTTTCTTTCTTTCCAAGCAAAGCACCAAGAGCCCTTAGTTCAGATCCTATAAACAAGTATATAAAGGTATATTACATCATATTTTATGCACACACGCACACACACACACACACACACACACACACACAAACAAATATCCATCATCTTCATCTGGCTTGCCTTTAATTTGTAATTTCCCTGACACTTTCAGATTTATAGTCATATATAATTCCATCATAAATTTTATTTTTTCTTGCAGATTTTCTATCATGTGACTGGCTCTTACGCACTTCAGCATGACCTGGCAATGGCTTAGACACAAAATCAACTCAGGATTACTTTTACAAAAGAGGTCTTTAAGCAAACAGCATTCAGGAGTCTTCTGACAACCAAGTGCATATGATAGAATTAAAGGCCTAATTCTCCCTTCTTCATATTTTATAGTATTTAAAAATATGCTCAAGTCTGCTGGTTGTACTTGATCCAAAAGCAGAAAAAATGGTAGTTCTGAAATAGTTAAATAGTTAATACTTACAGATTTGCAAAGTTAATCTTGCAAAGTCTTCCTCAGACCAGCCTGAAAAGCTTATTAATGGCAACACTGAAATACTATGAAAAAGATTTAGGTGGCCTGGTAACAGTTTGCAGTCGCAGAATATGAAATATCTATGGACTGTTTCAGATTGGTAATTAAGAGCTACAGATCTTGGAATAGCTTTCCATTCACCTCAGAGAAAATCTTCTGCCACAGATGTGTTGCACTATTAATTGTTATGTTGATTCAGTTTCAAGCATTGTAACCTGAGAAAATGAAACTTGACTATTGCTTTCTTCTATAAAATGTCTCTGTAGCAAAAAAACCCCTTTTTTTTTTTTATTTTTTCCCCCAAACTTGGGCACAGACATCCATATTTAGACCCTTGAATAAAGGTGGCTTGATTTCTAGAACAGCTGAGTATCCACAGTTGCTCCTGAAGTTAATGGGAGCTCTGGGTGATCAGAACAACTGAAAATCAAGCAGCCTCTATATAGGTGCCTAACTATGCATTCAGGGGCCTATTTTTAGGCATTTCGCTCTTAAAATTTTAGTCTAACTTGCTTAGAATCTCCCATTCCTGTCTCCTGTCATTTTAAAACACATTCATGCAAATCTTTCCATTTTAATGTAGGGGGGTTTGACTGTCAGTTTGCAGGTGTCACTGCTATGCTGGCTGAACTTCAACTTTGCCATTCTAAAAGCAATTCTTTAATTTAAAAGGTGATTTGAATTGTGTCCTATGTGGGGTTTACAGCTTTAATGTAAAAAGTACTTTTCTCAGAGCACATTGAGAATAATACCGAAATCATCAACACCTTTTGAATATCAGACTGGAGCTAGTAGATTCATTATTTCAGAACTGCATTCTGCTCACTAACCAGAGTTGTACTAAAAACTTAATTATCTTATCATCATGACTAGTCTCCCTGACTTAAGTAGGTCTCATTAGGGAAGTAAGAGGAGGAGGATTTTGCTGTAAATCAAGCTACAAGGTACATTTATTACAAAGAGATCTGTGCCTCATAAATATAATAACTCAGTTACTTATCTGGTTATACCACCTGAATCACTAGTGCTCTGCAAACCACCTTGGACGGATGGAAAGCTGAATAGGGGAAAAAAAAATGATCAGAAAAACAACATATCCAGAAAGTAAAATCCTATATGCAGTGCTCAGTACTAAAAATAGGCCTTAATTTCCCAGGAAGTAGTTCATCCAAGGCTCTCAGCCTTTTTCTGGTTTAGGTCTCAACACAGAAGATGAAGCTGAGCTGTGACTGTATTTTCGCACATTTGTTTTCCTGGAAAGTGGCCTTTTTTGCCATGGGTTTTCCTTCCGATTTCACTGCCAGTTTCTTGAGGGAGAAATCCAGTGCCTGTTTGTGTATTTAGAGGAAAATTCTGCTGCTGAGCTTTCCGAAATACAGACCCTGTTATATGAAGTCAGCTCCCACCAGGTGCTTGCCGGGTTGACCCTCTGCCATGCCCTCCCAGCAACCGCACACTGGATTTTGCTGCTGTTTAGCTTTAGCTGTATAAATGTTAGAGTGTATTTCAATACTTTCGTCACAGAAAGATTCACCTCACTTGCAAAGTACACTTTGTTGTTGGTGGTTGTCGTTTGGACATTTAGGGCGAAGATAGAAGCTATTTTTTGGAGATGCTTCACCTTTTTCTAGGTGAAAAGTTCCTTAAAATCAATGAAGGTCCAACTTTGCCACCTAACTATTTAACGCGAGTACCTCTGAGAACAGCCTCACTGTTTCCACGGGAGTTACGTGTCGATTAATGAGCTTGCCAGGAGGGATTGTTTATATTTCTGTTGATGGCCCCCCCTTCGTTTTGATGTGCACATGGGCTGCTGCTCGTTACTTTGCTTCAGAGGGAACAGGCTCCATTTAGCGGAGGGAGAGGTTCGGCTTCCTGAAAAGTCAAAGATAGCTGCTTCCCTTTTCCATGAACATTACAGACACACCGATGTGAAATACTGTGCAACTCCAAGCCAACTAGTGTTTTGGGAGAAGCTGGTTTGGAAAGTAATTTAAACATTTTTTTCTGTTGAAACCTGTAATTTTTGGGGAAAAAAAAGAAAAAATGTAAAAATAACAGAATCTGTAAACACATTCAAATAAAGACGATTCTGGTTTTGGGGTGGGGTTTTTTTGAGGAATAAGCAGAAGGCTCAGTGTTACAGAGTGGCTGGTTGTCTTTGTTAACTTCTCTGTGACTCAGGTGAGTTGTATTCTTACTGTCTGTGGTTGTGGACTCCCAACAGGACCCAGAGCCTCGTCTCTCACTCCTCCTACAGAAGCTGCTGGTACCAGCCCAGGTATTGGTCTGTTGACAGCCCTAGGTGATGCGAGGGGATGAACCTGGGCCAGGGGTCCCATCAGGAGCGGCAGGGGACCAGGCTGGAGACATATGACAAGGCATGTCCAAGGGGCCCATCCAGGAGACAGCTACCAATGGCGCAGGTCCGAGGTCCGTACCAGGGGCAGGGCTGGAGACCAGCACTCCTGCAGCGTAGCTCAGGGAGATGCTGAGGGCCATGGGCTGAGCTGAAGTGGAGCTCCTGGGCGCCTGCTGTGGGTTGGGGGAGGCTGGGCAGGGCCAGAAGCGTCGCTGGGCTTATTCCAGCACTGAGCCTGTGAGAGTGCCAAACATGGGGGATACAGGGACCAAGGTGTTCTGAGCTCAGGTCAGAGGCTGGCGTGGCAGGACCTACACCCCCACCCACGGGGAACTGGAAGCACTCACAGTGTGGTCTCCTAGGCTTGCTGCCCTTTGCCGTGACCGGCACTTCCACTGCACCCTCGGCACTTCCACCGCCCGCGCTTCCATCTTCCCCATTGCTGACGGCCACTTGCTGCTATTTGTTTCCTGTCGTCAGGGGGCAGTTGAGATTTATTGAGGCTGCTGCAGCTGGTTGTCACTCCTGCAGACAGCACGTGAAAGGCGATGGGGACCTGAACTCAGTCGGGAGCCGGGGAGGGGGTGGCGCTCCGTCGCTGCATAGACTTTGGGAAAAGTTCAGATTTAGCACTGTGCTTCAGGCCATTAGAAAAGGAACAGGCAATTATGCGCTCCCATCTAAATATGTTTCAGAGTATAACATATGTTTTGTGCAAGTCAGTCTTGTATGCTAATTTATTATTTTTATAACACTTATTCATTTAGGATTTTAAATAGCTTCTTTTTGTAGACCACATTACTTTGCAAAGAAGGGAATAAATTCAAGAAGAAAGTCAAGTAGAAACTGCAAATCTAGAATATTCTGCATCAGCTTATTTACAAGAAGAGGGAATTGGGAGAGAGGGTAAGCTTTTTTTCTGGTTTGTAGGAAACAAAGATATTAAATAGTAATTATATGTGAAGTGTACATATCAGCTGGAGCAAGTAATACTTTGATATCTTTATTTCATCAGTCGTATAAGTTCATTCTTTCATTTCCTTTGTGAAGCAGGGAACATACATTATATACCATAGCACGTGCTACTGAGACAGAAAAAACTGATCTACTTTTAATTTTATTTTGCTCAGTTGGAACTTTGGCTCCTTGCCTCCCCTAGGGGGGACAAAACCACAAAACAATAGCAGCAAGTTTTATCCAAATCTTGGTGAGCTTTTGCTGAAACTACCAGTGCTGACATCTGGATGATATGTATAGTGTGCAGTAGGAGTAGAATGAGGGAGCTGCTTTTAATTAGATGTAACCTGCCCAGGAGAGAAAGACAGAGAATTGTCTATCTGGTCAGTCCTTGTTTAATAGGGTAACCAAGGATAAGAGTATTCTTAATATGCAAAGACACCATAGGTAAAATTACTGATTGACCATTTTTATTAAAATCCCAGAAAGCCGGAACTCTGCTAAATTAAGAGGTGGTAAGACTTAGAAAGAAGGGAGCATCAAGAAAGGTTGCAGTCCTTGCGCTTCCTAAAAGCAAGAGTAAGCAAGTGATGGGTGACTGTCGGGTCCCGACCAGCTATACTGTAGAGAACTTTTCTCTGTTCTAGACAATTTACAGATCCTTCCCCTTCTGTGAGGACCTACAGTAACCACTTACCAAGAGAAAGCGTGACAAAGTTGTTTTAATATCCTCTAATGAAATTTAACATTGATGCAATGAAGGAGTGCCAACAAGACACTCTAGCCACTCCTAATGAGTCTCGTGATTTTGAGTGGCTCTGTTTTGAGCACTGGGGACATTGTGTGGATTGCTAATGCTTGAAAATCGCAGAAAATATGGTCTTCTGGAAGCAAGGCTTTCTTGAGGCATAACAGTTTCATATCTCCGAGATCACAAGGAGTGTTTGAAAACGCTGAATTGTAAAAGCATCAATTTAGAATTGCTTCCTTAGCTGAGATGAAAACAAAGGATTTTTTAAAGAATGTTAACAAACTGAGGAAGCCATACTAGAATTGACTACGCTTTTTTTTTCAAGTCTTGCTTTCTCTGTGGGAGGAGAGGGAAAGGAGGAAGCTTTGCAGGCTCACCTGGTGGAGATTAGCATCATCTCTATACAGTACAGTGTCGTATAAAACCAAACCCCAAAACGGATGATGGTTTGCCCAGAAAAACAAAGGAAAGCTTTATAAGCTGATTTTTCCATTTCAATAATAGCACGAGCTCTGTTTTTATTCAAAGATGTGAGTTCTCACCTGTTTACTAGTCGTAACAAACAAGCGAAGAAGCAAACCCACCAACCAGTTCACTTCCTACGTCTGGGCCGAGGCCAGTGAGAAGGCTGGTTTGGTCATCCCGCGGCTTAGGGGTCCCCGCCACCGTCGCAACCGGGAGAGCAAGTGGGCTGCTGGAGGAGCCTGCCAAGGCTTACCGTCGTGCCTGCCGGCTGCACGAACCAGCCTGTGCTCTTACTGCCTGAGAGGTTGCCCTGGGGCTGGAAGGTGCTAAAACTGTCT